TGTTGTTGTACCACGGTCAGCTGTTGCTGCACCACGGTCAGCTGCTGCTGCACCACAGTCAGCTGCTGCTGCACCACCATCAGCTGTTTCTGACCAACATGACTCATCTCGAACCTGTCCGTCCAGCCCTGCCGTCATTGTTTACAAGCCAGGGAGGCCGGTTGTATGCATACATTCGATACATTTTGTATTATTCCATTGTTTATAGTGCTTGTAACTGCTAAATAAGCCACCTGGGCCCAAAGAAAGCTTCTAGTGCCAACCCTGTGGTAAAAAGGGTGAGAAATATGTACTATCGTACCACGGTCAGCTGCTGCGGCACCACCGTCAGCTGTTGCTGCACCAGTCAGCTGTTGCTGAACCATGGTCAGCTGCTGCTGCACCATGGTCAGCTGCTGCTGCACCAAAGTCAGCAGCTGCTGCACCAAAGTCAGCTGCTGCTGCACCAAAGTCAGCTGCTGCTGCACCAAAGTCAGCTGCTGCTGCACCAAAGTCAGCTGCTGCTGCACCAAAGTCAGCTGCTGCTGCACCAAAGTCAGCTGCTGCTGCACCAAAGTCAGCTGCTGCTGCACCAAAGTCAGCTGCTGCTGCACCACTGTCAGCTGTTGCTGCACCACGGTCAGCTGTTGCTACACCACGGTCAGCTGTTGCTGCACCACAGTCAGCTGCCGTTGCACAACGGTCAGCTGCCACTGCACAACGGTCAGCTGCCGCTGCACCACGGTCAGCTGCCGCTGCACCACGGTCAGCTGCCGCTGCACCACGGTCAGCTGCCGCTGCACCACAGTCAGCTGCTGCTACACCACCATCATCTGTTGCTGCACCACGGTCAGCTGCTGCTGCACCAAAGTCAGCTGTTGCTGCACCATGGTCAGCTGTTGCTGCACCAAGGTCAGCTGGTCCTGGTGGCATTAAAAGAGGAAGGAAAGTAACCCCGGAAAAGGACGTGCTACCTAAAGTCCTAATGGAAGGGGATTCCCCTTCTAAACATTAACAATTTCCATGGTTTATGAGACAGGAAAAATACACCAGCATTCCTACTATCATGTAAAACAAATATGTACAGGTGTCTGTCTTACATTCATTGGGCAGGACAGTAGTACCTCCCTGGGTGGTTGTTAACGTTTATGAAGAACGAGATTAACAATAGAATTGATGAAGGAAATGTGAGTGGTGCATTGAGGTACCTGTGGAAACAAAAAATATTGTTCATGGAGGCAAAGACAGGAATGTACGAGAGTATAGTGGTACCAACACTTATATGGATGTGAAGCATGTGTTGTAAATGCTGCAGCAAGGAGGATGCTGGAGACAGTGGAGATGTTGTGTCTAAGGGCTGTGTAGGGTGTAAATATTATGCTGATAATTCATAGTGTGGGAATTAGGAGGAGGTGTGGAGTTAAAAGTATTACTTAGAGGGCTGAAGAGGGGTTGTTGAGGTTGTTTGGTCATTTAGATTGGATGAAGCAAAATAGGATGACTTGAAGAGTGTATGAATCTGTAGTGGAGGGGAGGGGGGGTAGGGGATCATCCTAGAAAAGATAGAAGGAGGGGGGTAAAAGAGGTTTTGTGTGCAAGAGGGTTGGACATGCAGTATGCATGAATGGAGACGAGTAGTTTTTGGGACCTGACAAGCTGTTGGAGTGTGAGCAGGGTAATATTTTGTGAAGGGATTCAGGGAAACTGGTTAGCCAGACCTCAGTCCTGGAGGTGGGAAATAAAGTACCTGCCCTCTGATGGAGAGGTGTTGATGCTGTAGTTTTTTAACTATAGTGTAGATGTGCCGCTGGCAAGACAGTGATGGAATGAGTGATGATGAAAGTGTTTCTTCTTTTTTGAGTCGCCCTCCCTTGGTGGGAAAGGACTGGTGTGTTAATAAAAAAAAATTACATTTAACAGATTTGTCCTTGTCTTACAGAAAAAGCTTTGATTTTTTAGGATTCCCCATCATGAGAGAATTCATCTTTCATTTAAAGTGGTCAGCTTGCCATAGTTGAATTGCTGTTAATGAGGGCACTTCAGTATATGTAATCTTTATTACTTTAGCAATGTTTTTGCCAGATTTTTCAAAATGATAAAAACTTTCCCATTTTTTGAACCTGTGCAACATGCATTGAGTTTTCTGACATTTTGATATTTTTTATTTGTGAAATTGCTTTGCCTTTTGTCAAAATACTCTCAAAAAATGAAAAGCTTCTCCATGATTAGCAATATGACTTTCACAGAATATATATTTTTTTTTATTAACACACCGGCAGGGTGGCCCGAAAAAGAAAAACTTTCACAATCACTCCTTCACTGTCTTGCCAGAAGGGTGCTTTACACTACAGTTTTTAAACTGCAACATTAACACCCCTCCTTCAGAGTGCAGGCACTACTTCCCATCTCCAGGACTCAAGTCCAGCCTGCCGGTTTCCCTGAATCCCTTCATAAATGTTACTTTGCTCACACTCCAACAGCACGTCAAGTATTAAAAACCATTTGTCTCCATTCACTCCTGTCAAACATGCTCACGCATGCCTGCTGGAAGTCCAAGCCCCTCGCACACGAAACCTCCTTTACCCCCTCCCTCCAGCCTTTCCTAGGCCGACCACTACCCCGCCTTCCTTCCACTACAGCCTGATGCACTCTTGAAGTCATTCTGTTTCGCTCCATTCTCTCTACATGTCCGAACCACCTCGACAACCCTTCCTCAGCCCTCTGGACAACAGTTTTGGTAATCCCGCATCTCCTCCTAACTTCCAAACTACGAATTCTCTGCATTATGTTCACACCACACATTGCCCTCAGACATGACATCTCCACTGCCTCCAGCCTTCTCCTCGCTGCAACATTCATCACCCATGCTTCACACCCATATAAGAGCGTTGATAAAACTACACTCTCATACATTCCCCTCTTTGCCTCCAAGGACAAAGTTCTTTGTCTCCACAGACTCCTAAGTGCACCACTCGCCCTTTTCCCCTCATCAGTTCTATGAGTCACCTCATCTTTCATAGACCCATCCGTTGACACGTCCACTCCCAAATATCTGAATACATTCACCTCCTCCATACTCTCTCCCTCCAATCTGATATCCAATCTTTCATCACCTAATCTTTTTGTTATCCTTATAACCTTACTCTTTCCTGTATTCACTTTTAATTTTCTTCTTTTGCATACCCTACCAAATTCATCCACCATCCTCTGCAACTTCTCTTCAGAATCTCCTAAGAGCACAGTGTCATCAGCAAAGAGCAACTGTGACAACTCTCACTTTTTGTGTGATTCTTTATCTTTTAACTCCACGCCTCTTGCCAAGACCCTCGCATTTACTAATCTTACAACCCCATCTATAAATATATTAAACAACCATGGTGACATCACACATCCTTGTCTAAGGTCTACTTCTACTGGGAAATAATCTCTCTCTTTCCTACATACTCTAACTTGAGCCTCACTATCCTCGTAAAAACTCTTCACTGCTTTCAGTAACCTACCTCCTAAACCATACACCTGCAACATCTGCCACATTGCCCCCTATCCACCCTGTCATACGCCTTTTCCAAATCCATAAATGCCACAAAAACCTCTTTCTCTTATCTAAATACTGTTCAATTATATTTTCACTGTAAACACCTGGTCCACACACCCCCTTCCATACCTAAAGCCTCCTTGTTCATCTGCTATCTTATTCTCTGTCTTACTCTTAATTCTTTCAATAATAACTCTACCATACAGTTTACCAGGTATACTCAACAGACTTATCCCCCTATAATTTTTGCACTCTATTTTGTCCCCTTTGCCTTTATACAAAGGAACTATGCATGCTCTCTGCCAATCCTTAGGTACCTTACCCTCTTCCATACATTTATTAAATAATTGCACCAACCATTCCAAAACTATATCCTCACCTTCTTTTAACATTTCTATCTTTATCCCATCAATCCCAGCTGCTTTACCCCCCTTTCATTTTACCTACTGCCTCACGAACTTCCCCCACCTCACAACTGGCTCTTCCTCACTCCTACAAGATGTTATTCCTCCTTGCCCTATACACGAAATCACAGCTTTCCTATCTTCATCAACATTTAACAATTCCTCAAAATATTCCTTCCATCTTCCCAATACCTCTAACTCTCCATTAATAACTCTCCTTCCCAATTTTACTGACAAATCATTTGTTCTCTAGGTTCCTTAACTTGTATCCCCCACACTCACAACTGGCTCTTCCCCCACTCCTACAAGATGTTATTCCTCCTTGCCCTATACACGAAATAAACAGCTTCCCTATCTTCATCAACATTTAACAATTCCTAAAAAATATTCCTTCCATCTTCCCAATAACCCCTAACCCCTCCATTTAATAACTCCCTCTCCTATTTTTAACTGACAAATCCATTTGTTCTCTGGGCTTCCTTAACTTGTTAATCTCACTCCAAATTTTTCCTATTTTCAAAAAAATTTGTTGATAACATCTCACCCACTCTCTCATTTGCTCTCTTTTACATTGCTTCACCCACTCTCTTAACCTCTCTCTTTTTCTCCCATATACTCTTCCCTCCTTGCATCACTTCTACTTTGTAAAAACTTCTCATATGCTAACTTTTTCTCCCTTACTACTCTCTTTACATCATCATTCCACCAATCGTTCCTCTTCCCTCCCACACCCACTTTATTGTAACCACAAACTTCTGCTGAACACACTAACTCTGGATTTTTAAACCTACCCCATACCTCTTCAACCCCATTGCCTATGCTCTCATTAGCCCATCTATCCTCCAATAGCTGTTTATATCTTACCCTAACTGCCTCCTCTTTTAGTTTATAAACCTCCTCTTTTAGTTTATAAAATATTGTTAACTCATTAATTTTAAATTATACTTGGTTGTTTTTGTAATATTCTGTTTTGTTTTGGGACTCACTTTTTTTAGTGATGCTACTTTATTATGCAGTGTTATTCATGCATTTATTGAAAATTTGCTGCCTGTTTTCAGTCATAAATCATATTCTCTTTTCAGACCAGACACTGTAAGCAAGCAGGAGGTTCATCTACAACTACCACCATTAAAGTTGCCCTGCTCAAGCTTCTGGGACATCTTTATAAGACATATTGAAGATTTGAGCAACATTTACTTTCATCTCGTGGGTGATGAATACAGCGTAAGTTAAAAAGCAAATATTTAATATGATTGTTGAGTTTTGTCATTTAGGGTGGTGTTTCCAGGAAATAATAGGCTAATTAATTTAGAGCGAGATATTAATAAGTGCAGTGGTACCTCGAGTTTCGAACAGCTCCCAACTCGAATGATTATGTAAGTGTATTTTTGTAAGTGCTTTTGTAAGTGTTTTTTGTAGGGGGTTTTTGGGGGTCTGAAACTGACAAAACTGTTTTAATTTACATTATTCCTTATGGGAACAAATTCGTTCAGTATTGGCACTCAAACAGCCTTCTGGAACAAATTAAGTTCGTAACTTGAGGTACCACTGTATTACCTCACACAAAAGATCAAATATCATCCATCTTTAGTTAAGTTTGGTTATACATGTCATGCTTCCCAAGAAATTATGATGACAGCAGTACTCATACTCAGCTAATCCTATATTTATTTTCTGGCACAGCTGTAATAAATAAAATAAAACTTTCAGGGTGCATATAGTGAATTAGCTACAAATATGGAATTACACTATATGGAAGAAAAGAACCTTGCTCCTGTGAAAAATCCTCAAGAAGGAGAACTTTATGCTGCCAGTCATGACCAGTCTTGGTTCAGAGTGGAACTTCTAAATGTCTGTGGTGAGTAAAAATTTGTTCACTTTTTGTTTTTGCGGTTGATGAGAATGTATAAATTGTGCATGCTTTGTTTAACCCTTTGACTGTTTTGGTCGTATATATACGTCTTACGAGCCACTGTGTTTAACGTATATATGGACTTGAGTCCTGGAAATGGGAAGTACAATGCCTGCACTTTAAAGGAGGGGTTTGGGATATTGGCAGTTTGGAGGGATATGTTGTGTATCTTTATGTGTGTATGCTTCTAGACTGTTGTATTCTGAGCACCTCTGCAAAAACAGTGATAATGTGCGAGTGTGGTGAAAGTGTTGAATGATGATGAAAGTATTTTCTTTTTGGGGATTTTCTTTCTTTTTTTGGGTCACCCTGCCTCGGTGGGAGACGGCCGACTTGTTGAAAAAAAAAAAAAAAAATGCAGTAGGGCCCCACTTATATGGCAGGTTAGGTTCCAGGCTACTGCCGTAAAGCGGAAATCGCCGTAAAGTGGAACACCCTTTTTTTTTTTTTCCCTTAAATGCTTGCAAATACAGTGGACCCCCGCTTAAACGATCACCTCCAAATGCGACAATTATGTTAAGTTGAATTTGATGTAAGTGCGTTTGTACTTGGGATGTTTTTGGTTCTGAAATGGACTAATGAACTTCACAAATTCCTTATGGAAAAAAAAATATCGGTCAGTACTGCACCTTAAGCATACTACTGGAATGAAAAAAGTTCGTTAACCGGGGGTCCACTGTACTAGATAACAAGTTTACACTAACATATATTAAGTTAGCAATAGAACTAGGCATCAAAAAACAACAGAAAAGTACAATACACATAGTACACTCATTACTTACCTTAAAATATTTTTAGTCTTAATCTAGGGGTGAGACAAGTAGTATTTATTGTAAGAAATCAAGTGTGGTATGTATGGTAGTCAGCCAGGCTACCATACCAGGCCACCCCACCTACACATAATATTCTATTACATTTAGGCATCCCAGAGCGATAAAATGCATATAAAGTTCACTCATTACTTGCCTTAAAATATTTGTAGTCTTAATGTAGGGTCAGGGGTGAGTAAACGAGATAAAACGAATAAATGAGAGAGAGAGAGAGAGAGAATGAGTACATGAGAGAGGACAAGCGTGGAGTTATGTAAACAAACCAGGCGAACGTAAGTTTTGTAAACAAACAAAGTGTACACGTCTGGTTTGTGTGCAAGTTACATTGTGTACAAGTTGTCTCTACATTGATACGGTAGAATAAATAAAGAAGAACACTCCCATTCTCATGTAACACCATTTTTAGAAGAAATGACGTTCTGAGTGAAGGCAATGGAAATATGAAATAAGTCACTCTGACTTTTTTGGGTTATCCTAGGTTCTCAACACATCTGCTGTTATGTATGATAATCTATGTGACTGTATTTGTGTATACCTGAATAAACTTACATACATACGAAAGGAATAATTTTCTACAGTTACCCCCAGTAACACATTTTCTCTTATGTTAGACTATAGAAAATGTTATTCTTGCCGTCACTTGTATAAGTTATCTGGCTACCACATCTCATATTTATGTTTATTTATTCTATTGTGGGGTGTATTTATCATCTTTATATGTTATGTATCGTGTTTATATAATTTTGAAAAAATATCGTGGATTAATGAAAATGTGTACATTAACGTAATATGCGATATTTAATGAGACTCGGTGATTATTATTATCATTACTAATATGACGTCTTGTGACATAAGATACATATTGATTTTAATGTGTACCTGCACGCCAGCACAGTATGTAAGTTTATTTAGGCACAGGTATACATAAGTATAATTATCAGAGTATATATAAAATAACTTTTAAAAACACTTGAAATTTTGGAGTTTCCAGACATAATGGAGAGGCTTAGTGCTTACGGATCTCACAGAGAAGGTAAACAGACCGGCTGGGGCACGGTGGCCGTATTAGAAAGTCAGGTGGGGGGAGCCGTATAGTGAGTTTTGGTCAAAATTTGAAATGACCGTATTAGCGGAACGCCGTAAAGCGAAACGCCATAAAGCGGACCCTACTGTGCTCATAAATTCTAGCGGCTTCAAATCAAGCAGGAGAAAGCTGGTAGGCCCACATGGGAGAGAATGGGTCTGTGTGGTCAGTGTGCACCATATAAAAAAAATCCTGCAGCATGCAGTGCATAATGAGAAAAAAAAAAACTTTTTTTTTTTTAATTAAAATGCCAACTTTGTGGTCTATTTTCGCATAGTAGTATTTATGGTTGTATTCTCGTTTTCTTGGTCTCATTTGATAGAATGGAAAACATATTACAGAAATAGAGGTGATTTTGATTGATTTTACTATGAAAAGAACCTTGAAATGGAACTCAAAGTAGGGGAAATGTTTGATTTCTGCCAATATTCAAAAGTAAACAAATGATGTCATTTTCCAAAAAATGTCCAAGTAGCCATTCTAATTTGCAGTCATGAATGGGTTGACATTATTTATACATTTATTACAGTATTGCAGTAGTCTGCATAATAGTAAATCTTCTATTTTTTGTTTGAATAAAAATTCAAAATAGAAATCAAGAATAATATCAGAGAGCCCTGAAGAAGTGACTGATGAACAAAGCAAATGTTATTTTTGAGCCAGGAATGTCTGCATTGTTCATTCTGGACCCTATTTTGAAATTGTCAATTTTTTAATTTTTGTGAAATTGGCCAAATTGCAAATTTCTGACCATGTTATTGGGCAAATGGAGTTCTAAAGAAATAGCTATGAGTTTGGTCAACTGGAACAACGGAATTATCCGAAAATAAGGCTCAATGTGGGCGAAATCGCTGATTTGTAAATATCGCTGCGGTTGCTAACTTTGCGAGGGCGTAATTCCGTCAGTTTTCCATCAAATTTCATTCTTTTGGTGTCATTACAACCGGGGGAAAAATTCTCTATCATTTCATAAGATTTTTTTTTTTTTTTTTTTTTTTTTTTTTCTTTTTTGTCAAGGTTTTTAAAGGATTTTATGCTTATATTGAATTTTACATCCAGGAACCCAAATTGGGGGCAACAATTTATTAGGGTGTCTAGGAAGTTCTCTTTGCATAACATTATCTAAATCTTACTGACATTACCTTTATCATTTATTCAATTGTATTGTGTTTTCATAAGAAATTTTCTAGACCTTTTGTGCCCAACTGGTAGTGCAGCTCTTGCCCTGTGTAGTGCATGATGAGAAAAAAAAACTGACTGTATTTGGTTTAAAATAGTGACTTTATGGTGTATTTTTGGATTTTTTTTATGGTTTTATTCTTGGTTTCTTTATATTACTTGATGGAATTGAAGATATATTACAGAAATAGAGATGATTTTTATTGTGTTCAGAACTGGAAGTACCTTGAAATTGAGCTCAAAATAGCAGAAATGTTCGATTTTTTTGTGGATACAAATTGTGTCACTCATTCAATGTGTGTCCAACTGGTCGGTCTAATGCGCATTAACAAATGTGCTAACTTTATTTATACAGTTATTACAGTAATGAAGTAATCTGCATAATCTTTTATATTTTGTGAATAAAAATTCATGAAAGCTCTTTACAGTATTTATTAACTTACTACTTATTCTATACACTTGCAACATCTGCCACATTACTTACCTATCCACTCTATCATATGCCTTTTCTAAATCCATAAATGAAAAGTAAGTTTTGAAACACAGATGTTTTTAAATGCAGGATATAAAAAAACATCATAAGTAAATAATAGCTTAACCCATAAACGGTTCAAACTTACATATACGTTCTCTCGCCTAGTGTCCTGAATATTTTGAAAAAAACACTCCAAATTTTTTCTGCATAAATTACACCACACTTTGCCCTTAAACAGGACATCTCCCTGCCCCCAACCGCTCCTCGCTGCGCATTCCCACCCAAGCTTCACAAAATTAAGATGTTGGTACTCTATACTTTCATACATTCCCTTCTTCCCTTCCATAGATAACGTTTTTTGATTCCCCCAGATACCTCAACGCACCACTCACCTTTTTTCCCTCATAAATTCTATGTTTAAAACCTCATCCTTCATAAATCCATCCGCCGAAAACGTCAACTCCCAAGTATCTGAAAACATTCACTTCTTCCATACTCCTCCCCCCCAAATTTTGATATCCAAATTTTTCTTTATCTAAATCTTTTGAACCCTCATCACCTTACCTTTTCTATGTTCACTTTCAACTTTCTACCTTTACCACATTCCCAAACTCATCCACTAACCTTTGCAATTTTCTTTAGAATCTCCCATAAGCACAGTATCATCAGCAAAAAGTAACTGTTCATTCCATTTTGAATTTGATTCCCCATAATTTAATCCCACCCCTCTCCCAACACCCTAGCATTTATTTCCCTTTTTACAACCCCTCTAAAAATATATTAAACAACCATGGTGACATTACACATCCCTGCTAAGACCTACTTTTCCCGGGGAAGTAGTCTCCCTCTCTTCTACACCCCCTAACCTGAGCCTCACTATCCTCATAAAAAACTCTTTACAGCATTTAAAACTTAAAACCTATTCTATACTTGCAACATCTGCCACATTGCTCCCCTATCCACTCTATAAATATCCCTTTTCTAAACCCAATAAATGCAATAAAAATTTCCCCCCCCTTTATCCTAAATACTGTTCACATATATGCTTCAATGTAAACCCCTTGATCTACACATCCCCTACCCACTCTAAACCTCCTTGCTCATCCCAATCCTACATTCTGTCTTCCTCTAATTCTTTCAATTATAACCCTACCGTACACTTTTCCTGGTATACTCAGTAACTTATTCCTCTATAATTTTTACATCTCTTTTGCCCCTTTCCCTTTATATAAAGGGACTATACATGCTATCGCCAATCCCTAGTACCTTCCCCTCTTTCAACAATTAATTAAAAAAAGTACCAACCACTCCAACACTATATCCCCCCCCTGCTTTTAACATTTCTGTCATGATCCCATCAGTTCCAGCTGTTTTAAACCCCT